CAGTTTAGGTGGGCATCACTAGCATAAAATAACTTATTACAATATTTCTAAAAGATTAATATGAATGAAAATAATTACCTTTTTCTTGACAAATTTTTTCTGCCAAGTCCTTGCGTTTCACGAGTTTATGCTGTAATTCGACATTCAAAGCTTGGTACGTTGCGTCACAACCTTTGTTCTGCTTCCATATCAATAACATTTGGTATCCTCTCTCAGGCAGCGTGTCATGTTTTTGTTTCAGATTCTGTATTTCTGGCTCCGTGACTCCCAAGCGACGCCCAAGCGCCATCCACTTTTCACCGATTTCGTCGCCTAATTCTTCCAATTCATCTTGTTTTGGTTTACCTTCTTTTACTACAAAAACGAAAGAACACTACCATTACCAAGGTTTCGCACCAACAAAACCTCCTATAGAGAAAAAAAAATCGTTCCAAGTTGATTAAATTCTGCCGATAAGTGCTCAGGACGAAGGCAAACTAAGATGTCAAACAGTTTATGAGGATTAATCAATTAGGTGAAGATCTAGGACGTATTCGATATTCGTCAGTAATATGGCCAACAATAGTAGTAAGCAAGATCAACAACACCGAAAAAAAACCAAACCTTTAACATTTTCAGGCTTGAAAACCTTTCTTGTTGAACTCCTACCAGAACTTGGTTGGTTTTCTGGAAGAATCAAATGAAGCTCAGTCAAAAGTAATCTTTTGAAACTTACTCTAAAGCAACTAAGATTCTAGAGGCTGGGTAAAGGTCTATCAAGTATTTTACTACCTTTAGTAATATGGCCAACACTGGAAGTAAATGAGATAAAAAAAAAAAAAGGCGATGCTTTTCAAGCGAAAATCGATTCATTTAACATCCACAAAACAAGATTCTGATACCCTGGTGGTATATCCTGCTCACTTTCATAAGGTTTACTTTCTTCCCCTTGGATTTGGTGTCTCGTTCATGAATAAAAACATTAGTAGAATTGTGACAAAGGGCTGTCAATAAGATTTGAAGTAGGTGGGGATATTTTGAAAGTAGCCGGAGCCCCCCTCACAGGTGAGGGGTTTGGGGCCGCGTGATCCTCCAAACCAAATCTTTTGAGCTTGCGAATGAGATCATCATGGGGGACGGTATCAAAGGCCATTTTTAGATCGATAAATAACGCCCCAGTTAGTTTTCCCTCATTCTTAAAATTAAGAATGAGTTGCTCATTGCTCCGAGAGCCGGGAAAGAAAGCCGACTGAGTAGGTAGCACATCAAACTCTCGAGAGTCGTTCGTTTTCTTTGTTTTGACTATGTTCTGCTGCTTTTCATGCTTTTTGCGTTTCCATCGCCGAAATTGTCCAAGAACTCCGAACGTAGATCTAATTCAATTTTTTTCGTGCGCGGGATCAATACGGGCAATCCCGAGCGAGCAAGATGGGCCCATCTCGCCCGCTCGCGTAGTTTGTTACTGCAGATTCATGACGTTACTCTCACTTCATTAAAATTTTTTTCTGACAAACCCTCTGATCGTTACTATGTTGAAAATATACTAAAAGTTACAAAAACATAGCTCAGAGCAACCAAAATCACATGCATGCAACCTTTCAGCATTATTCTCAATTAACTTGACCATGAAACACCACATTCACTCAGACGAAGGGCCAACGCTCGAATCGCCATGCAGCTTTATAACTCTTTACGGTGGCTTAGTTGATAGAGCTAAATTACCATGAAACACCATATGCCTCTAGTATGTGTATACCACAGGAGCCCCAGTCAGTCAATCAACAATCTTTATTTATACACGATAAGTATTTAAAGCGACACTTCGCTTGTGGGGCCGTGTCTAAATAATTAAGTTAGATAACTAATGAATTAGTGAATAAATAGGATATACCCAGCTAAAATCATATCGCTACTTACTACTTACAAGTTTAAAACGATAAAAGCTTAAAATTCTAAAAAACAAGGTGTTACTCAGTGTTAAAAGTTAAAAAGTGTTAAAATTCTAAAAAACAAGGTGGTAGTCAGTGTTAAAGGTTGTAAAAGATTTTATTTGCTCAGAAATCCTCAGTTGTAGCACATTCCAAGTGTTGCATGTGAGAGAAGCCAACACTTATCACCTCTGGAAAAACTCTGGAAAAACTATGGGCAAATAGCCATTTCCTATCAATACGAAATAAATATAATTATGATAAACGTTACTCTTAGATATGACTTGATTGCCTTCATCAGATGCATGTGGAGGTATTGAGTTAAAGTCTTTTGAGTATATCACACAGAAGAGAGAGAGAGATATCCAGGGTCAAATACAGTAAAGAAATTCATAGAAATTGCAGGGGGATCTGGGTCCTTTCCCCCCTCAGAAATTTTGAAAAATTGAGTTGGCAGAAACCGTATTTGGTGCATTTTCAAGGCCTGTTTTGTGATAACGTCCTTCCTTTCAAATCACTGGTATTCAGTATACGTCTGGCTTGCATGGCCCATCATGGGGTGTGTACACTTTCATTCAACTCTGCTACCTATGGGCCTGCAAAGGAGTCTTCTGCTGTTTCCAAAATTAGTGGGAGATTCAGTTGGTAAAGCCTCTCCATCTGAATTGAAGCAGTACAGGCTGAGATAACACATCAAATATCTTCGCAGTCTTATTGCACTGTCATGCATGCTAGTAAGGGACCTAGCATTATTTACAGGGAGGGGGGAGCTGGTGGAAATGAGAAATAAACTTCTCAAAAACTTTAATTTCCCCCTTTATTGGGGACACACTTTTTATTGCCCCCCCCCCTTCATAATTCTTTAAATTAAATTTTTGCTGGTGTTGATATTGCAGAACTTTATTTGATCCCCCCTTTTTATGTGCACACAATTTGTTGGTCCCCCCCCTCCCTGTAAATAATGTTAGGTCCCTAACAAGAACTATGTCGAGCATCAGTTGGGGAATAAGAAAACAAAGATGTAGGTTATTTGGGATAAAAGCTTTCTGATCATTGAACAGAAAGGAAAATGAAAGAAATATGACTTGGTTAAATATTGACACCTTTAATACCAACTGTCTGTAAAAGAAAAAAAGAAAAGTAGACAGGCTCTTGGCCAGTGTATAAACAGGCAAACAAGGTCAAGGTCTGTTGTCCTGATAGCCACAACTGTTGTCTGTTATTCACTCACTCTTTTACTTGCCTCCACTGACTCAAAGAAAGGAACAGGCATGAGCTACAGTTTGTACAGCTCTCTGATTGCTAACTCTGGTTATCATGATTGACAAAAGCCAGAATCGGAGTTATCAGACAATTTAAAAAAGCTGCAGCCTGCTAATGTTGTACTGTTGCTATACAAGGCCTACAAACAGCCTTACATGAAATACTGCCCATCACTTTTACGAGGGATGAATAGAACATTGAACAATAACCTTGCATCTGCCTACTTGTTCTGAAGTGAATATACCGTACTTGTAAGAGTCTGCTTCTATGGGCTTGTGTGAAATCATTAACATACACCTTTTTGAAGTTAAGTAAAAGAATCCTTTGTACTGCTTCCAGGTTTGTTTTAAATAAATCACATACTTTTTTTCAGGTGATCGTATCAAGAGTTAGTTCTCCTCGCACAAGCCAACACACCCTGACCCGCCTTGTGTTATAAGTGCAGCTGGCACAAGAGCTTTTATGCTCTTAAAAGACAACATTTAACTGCTTGAATCTTTGGTACGGGTTGTACTACACAGAAAGGAGTCGTTGCACTCTCGCAAGCCAAAAACTATCGGCTTGATCCATCGGTGCGGTCGCACCACTGAGTGTCTGAAAGTGTTCGAAAGTGTTTGAAGCCTTGCACTGATAACACTACACAGAGGCATATTTCAAAACGAAAAAAGTAAGTATGGGAATCTCGATTGAACAGTACCGGTCAAGGATTGGCTCACGTGACAATTCTGTGAAAACAATGGATATCTGATCACGTTTAAAGGATCATAAACTCCTTATGATGTTCTACTTAAATGTATTTTAATTCTTATCTAGTTCATCTTTGTAAAATAGTTCATCTTTGTTGCTTAGATTTCGGTGATTGTGAACAATGGTTCCCATTTTCGCCTGCAGGTAACCAACCTATCCGTCACCTGTCGGCCGACACATTACCTACACATTACCAACAGTTGGCCGACAGTGTTAAGTAGACCAAAAAATTGATCGAAAACAGTCAAAACTTTTTGAGTTGAAAATAGTACATTAGATGTGTCAATTGCACCCTTCGTACCTATCTACTTGATTAGGTTTGAACGATAAAATAAGCTTTTATTAACCCATCTTTCGACCGTACGTACCAAAATGTAGTAGTAAATTAAGTACCTATTTCTTATATCCTTGTCTGTCCACAAAAAAATTTCTTTTCTCTATTTTGCCATCTGTCGGCCTACAGTTTTCGTTGTTTCTTCACTTTTACCTAGATTTCACAAGTCGGCTTTCCCAGAGTTGGCTTGTCTTCTAAGTGCGTATTACAGCGAGGAGTCTTTTATTTGGATTGTGGTGTATCGCTGGGATCTTGTCTGGGCCCTCTTTTATTCACACTCTACACTAGTAGAATGTTTCAGATTGTTCAATCGCATTTGCCTGACGTTCACTGTTTTGCGGATGATACTCAATTATATATTTCTTTTTGTCCCAATGACGCTATTGATGAGTCTTCCGCCCTAAATGCTTTGGAGTCCTGTGTTGATGATATTCGCTCATGGATGTTAACTGACAGTCTAAAGCTCAACGATGTTAAGTCTGAATTTTTGGTCATAGGAACACCTCAGCAGTTGGCTAAAGTTAATANACAAAGTTTGTTTCAAAAAAGATTAAAACTATTTGAAGTGCTAAGACAAGCAAACAGGCAAGCAAACAAATACACAAATACGATGAATATATGAAGTTCATATATTTTGAACTGCGGTTATAGATACGTATGATGCACGAGCCTCGCAGTAGAGAGCGCCATTTATGCAATAGCGAAAATCAGACCTGAAAAAAATCAGGCCTGTACGGGATTCGAACCACTGACCTCTGCGATACTAGTGCAGCGCTCTACCAATTGAGCTAACAAATACACAAACAAAGTCAAAAATCTTAAGAAACGGTTAAAAAAATTAAAGTTCCATCGGGATTAATTGATTATAGAATCTCCGTTTGCGGCTAACAACACAAATCATTGTTTTATTTTCATTTCCTCCGCGTCAAGGCAGAGGAGCTCTTAGATCAATTCTCAGTAGATGCTTATCCGGTAAGGAGTTCGGAGTTTTTTAAAGTCAGGAGTTTTTTAATCCTCGGAGGCAAAATCCAATGTAAGTCGTGTCAGTTACGTTCTATTTTTTGCTAGCGCTTTTGTTCAATCTGTAGCTTTTTCAGTTTCCCTTATTTCAAGATATTCCGTATTTCTTTATTTTTCACTACATGTGCTGCATAAAGGGGTCTCAAATAAACAAATATGAAACCTGTTGCCAGCCTCAGACATCACAGGTGGTTGACCTGCACTCACCCCTGTCTGCGGCACCGGTAACGCGATTAACGAGTAAACAAGCTTAATCGTCTTTAGGAATTGAAAATTGTTGATTTTTCAAACTGTATCTGCAAGGGTTACGTTAAACCTAAACATTGGACTATATGTTTTTGAAAAAAATGTTTACGGCGTACTTCCGGTTTGCGTGCTGAGATCGCGTGACTTATATTCATACGCCCCAAGTATAGTGATCAGCGGTATGCGTCAACACGATAAAACATGGTGGTTGTGGATTCCGAAAGTTTCAAGACAACCTTCCCAAAATACGTCTCCATACTTTGCTCCAGAAGAATCAGAAAATGTTTTGCTGTCTTTTAAACAGCATTATGGTGGGAAATTCAACTCCCTAGACGATTCCGATTTTCTGAAGTTCTTTCATCTTCTTGTGATGCATGGGTATTCCACCCGAAGTAGTAAAACAAATTATCTAGATCGTTGAGGATTGAACTGAAAATCGTGAGACTTAGAGGTCTGAAGTGGCCAGTAACAACTGTTAAAACAATTTTAGTTTGTTCATTAGCCAAACTGGCTAGTGGAAATCGAAAACCACTAACCAAAACTGAATTTCTGCTAGTCTGTGTCTAGTTGGCCACCGTTAGTGTCGAGCCCTGACAAAGTACTTGTATACAAACCTATTATAAGCGGGGATTGTTAACTTGCTGTTTCAACAAATTTTGGGAATGTGAGTACAAAGAAATGTGTAGAAAATAGAAACTGATCTGCGAAATCCCATTTTTAGAGTTAAAGAACTCAGTACATAAATCGGTTCGACCATCATGTTTTAAGGTTAGAAATGTGGACAAACTGTTGAAAAAAATCAGTGTCAAAGAGCCCTCATTCTCTCTTGGTGTACAATAGAGTGCACGATCACATCAGCGAGCAATATTTGCCCTATTGGACAGTACACATCTTTGGATAGGAGATTTTAGCGCTCAATTCTTCGTTATTGAATGTAGCGTGACCAGCCTCTTCCACACCTGTTTTGTTACGTCACGCGTTCACCCTCTGGTGGGGAACCGCTGCACAACTTCTGAAACACGGAAGGTTTGCAGCAGCATTCATTTCATAATTTCATAAACCTTTTCCCGCGATGCGACCGGAGAAATTTCAGCACACAATATGACATCATCCAAAAAAAGAAAAATTTAAAACAAGTTTGTTCGGTGTAAGATTAGCACGAGTTAGGTGCAGTTTGAAGCGATTTGTAGGTTGCTAATGAAATAACTGAGTGTTGCTTAAAACTTACTTATGAAGCATACCCTGTCATCCTGCAGGTGAGTAATTTCTCAATTTTCAGAACGCAGAACGCACGCTTTGATTGCGTTATCATGTAATGCAGTGTTCTGTTTACATTCCTTACATAGGTTCTCCTTTTTCGCGCGCTTTTTTTACCATTTGCTTATTAGCCAATCAGCAGCAAATAAAAAGCGTTCAAACGTACTGCATGCTGGGGAGTTTCAATAGAACCTTTCGGAAGTAGTTTTCTCTGGATTTGAACGAACAGTGATTGGGAATCCTGTGAAAGGTTATGCCTCTATCTCATGAAGACTGATCTTTGTAGTCAAAGAGAAGATTCGATGCCAGACGGCGTTTGATTTAGGTTCGATCTATATGAGGTCTTTTAGGTGTTCAAAGAAAATTTAAGTCGGCTCACCGTATCACCATCACAAGAAATTTTCTACATCACAGTAATGGCCTCTGCTATTTCGAATGAGGAGTTTGATAACTCAGGCGAGGCAAGTGAAATATAAGTTTCAGTTTCGTAAATTTCAATATGTTTTATCAGTGTAGTTTCTTAAACCTTCGCACTTCGCACTGTTCTTAGTATAAATTTTGATGTATTAAAAAGGAAATTGATCGAAAACATTTTTATTATGCTTGAGTTTTTACTCAAGTCCTGATTCTAAATATAAGTAGTTCTATTAAGTACTGCAAAGTGAGTTTTATGCACGTTGCTGTAAGCATTTGTGTTGCTTAAAACGGTAAACTCTGAACGTTCACAGGGATTTGTCACCTTAGTGCTATGTAATCGGAGATGTGTGATACAAATGAGATGGAGGTCTCTTTATCACGAGTCTTCATTACTTCATTAAGTCTATTCATAACTGAACCTTCAAATTTCTTCTGACGCGTTGAATTTTAAAGGAAATGATGGAGAAAGCAAGCGGGGATTTTATGAGCTGCTTCTTGTGCGAGAACAATACTGAGGACAGCTCAGGTAATGAGTGAAATCAGAATTTTGTTTGAGACATTCCTACCCTAACATTAATCATAAATATTCTTTTATTCAAACTAAACTCGTTTTGATTCTTATAAATGAAGCTTTTTCCCCAGAACAATAATAGACTGGAACTCGTTACCTGCAAGTGCTGTATGCCAGCCAAGTGCTGCTAAATTTAAAGATGCTGTCCTTCGATATTTCATTAGCATGTATAAGTAGAAAATTTAGATAATTAGGTAATTATTATCGTAATTATTTTTTTAAAAATATCGTCATGTATATATTGTATATTTTATTTGTATGACCCTTCGCTTCTACGCTGCAAGGCTTTGCGAAGTAACAATGTAGATGTAGATGAAAACAACCCTAACTAATCGAAGACTTCCTTGCTCTGAAATCGAAAAAAAGGATCTAGAACTTATTGAGGACTCTTATAAAAGTGTTTAAGCTTCTCGTCCAGTTAAGACTGATTGAGAGAATACGATTTTGATATAATCAATGTTTTTAAAGAAATGTCACATGGGAGATCATGAGAAGGGAAGTGAACTGATTTTGGTGGTCAATTGTTTTAATGTGTCTAACATTAAACTCTGGAAAAATATCAAAGAATACATTGAAGCTAGAACAGCTGCTTTATCTTTCTTCTCATCCCATGATTGTATGCTGTATACAGTTTGTCACTGAGCCATGCCATTAAATTATCTGTACTTGATAGAAGTTGCTCCATTTCCTTTGATTACTATTATTATAAAAATATAGTTGTTACCAAAATCACATTTCAGGACATCTCAAAATAATATGCATGCAACCTCTCTCCTTTACTCTCAATTAGGTTGACCATGAAACACTATCTAGGGGATATCTAGGGGAGATCCAGGTGTGGTTCGGGTGATTCGGTTGAACCCCTAAATTATTCCTCAAAATGCTGGAAATCATGTTTCCAAAGACTTAATTTTCAAAATCTCCTGGGAGAGCATGCCCTTGAAAAATTTTCCAAACCCCCCTTGACAAAACCCTGGATCCGCCCTGGTACATGGTCAACAGATAAGTAGATTATTCAGTGTCAAAGGTTACAAAAGATTTGCTCATAAATCTGTTTTCAAGCACATTCCAAATGTTAAGAAGCCAACACTTGATTCTTTAGTGGAACTCTGGAAAACGTATGGGCAAGTAGCTATTTCTTATGGACACTAAATACTGGAAATGTTACTCATATATTACTTGCCTTGATGTGTAGGGAGGCATTGAGTTACAACCTTTCGAATACATAATCGAGGAAAGAGAGAGAGAAAGTCTACTATAGTATGGTCTGGATCCTTTCCCACAGGGCAATTTTGAAAAATTGAGTTGCTGAGGACTGCATTTGGTGCATTTTCTAGGCCTGTTTTGTGATAACTTACTTTCTTTTGACTCACTGGTATCCACTACACGTCTGGCTTTCATCACTAATCATGGGGTGGGTACACCCCCAATCAACTCCACAAATAGTGTAAAGGTTCTGTTGCTGAAGTCTCTCCGTATGAATTCAAACAGTAAAGGCTGTTATGACGCACTACCAGTAAATATCCTCACAATTTTATTGCAGTGTCGTGTAGAAGAGTAACAAGAACTACGCTGAGCATCAGCTGAGGAACATATATGGTCATGAAAGGACACAGCAGTTTGGGACTAGACCACAAAGATGTATAGTAGTCATTTAGGGTAAAAGCTTACTGATTATTATATGGAAAGAAAAAGAATAAAAGAAATATGGCCAGGTTAAATATTCATTTGACAATTTTAATGAAAAAAAAAAAAAAGAAAAGAAAAGTAGCTGGGTTCTTGGCTAGTGTAAACAGGCAAAAAATGCCAAGGTCTGTCCTGATAGCCACCACTGTTGTTTGTTATTCATCCACTCTTTAACTCACCTCCACTGACTCAAGGCAAGAAACAAGCTTGCTACAGTTTGTACACCTCTCTGAGTGCTGACCCTGGTTATCTTGGCTAACTAGCCAGAATAGGAGTTACTGGTATCTGACAATTAAAAAAGAGCTATGGCCTGCTGATGTTGAACTGTTGCTGTACAAGGTGTACTAACTGCCTCACATGAAGTACTACTGCCCACTTTTATTATGGATAATTAGAATATTGAACAATAAACTTGCATCTGTTTACTTTTTCTGAAGTGAATATATCGTCCTTCTGTGAAATGAATTACATTCACCTTTATGAAGTCGAGTGAAAGAGTCCTTTGTACACCTCTCTGGATGATGATCATGGACACTGCTTCCAGCCTTTTTT